GCCGCGTAGGAGAGGGTAAGTGACAGATTTCTAATTATAATGAACAGGGCCACCATGGTGGTTTTGGGTAAGCTAAAATGATAGAGCAAAATATTCAGTTAGTGCTGAGTGATGATAGTGGGGAGGTTAGAGTATGTTTTTGTAGGATTGAGAGTTAGTGTGGTGTTTAGTTTTTTCTGGCCATGCTAGGATAGGATCTCATTGATCTGTTCTTTGGCTGCTGTTGTTGGCAGCTGGCCATGTATTGGGTTCCTGATGAGGCAGCTGCCGTTGGATGGGTGTGCTCTGGCTTGGGGTTCCGTCTTGGATGTACAGGCCTGTTCTCTATGAATCAATTGTTTCCTCACCTGTGGAATCAAGATACTCACAGCCAAAACTGGAGCTCTGTTGGGTGGCTCAAATTCTAAAAAAGCTACAGAAATACCTCTGGGGTCAACATTTTGAACTTGAAGTAGATGCACAATCCTTAATACAGATGATTAATTCACCATCACTACCCAATGCACCATTTTATTCAGTTATTTTATTTTGACATAGTCCACAAGCAAGGGAGTACATTTACCCTGCCAGACGGATTATCCAGAAGACCAATCAGTGACAATGAACCAGAATTTTACAAGGATCAAGAATATTTTGATGAAGGCAAACCAGTCATCAAAACCTTTTTTTCAAATTAATGTATCAAACCTCTCACTTGACTCTCAGGAATGGGAAGCGTCTGGATATTGGATGGACCTTAAACGTTACTTAACAACTTTAAAACGGCCAACAGGCATGGACCCAGAAGACTTCCAAAAATTGAAACGGAAATCAGTCAACTTCTTTATTCAAGATGGACAACCTATGAGTCAAAATTCACCTCTTGGACAATTGGTCATTTCCAACCACAATTACCAGTGCAAATTACTCCAAGAAGTCCACAAGGATCTGGGACACAGAGGCCTGGAAGAAACTTATCAGAGGCTGGTTTGCAGAATTTGGTTGCCGAGTCTTAAGAAACAGGTTAAGCTGTGGGTTCAAGTTGTGAAGCATGTCAGAAAAGGGATTCTTTAATTCCTTGAGAAATTAGAAATCCTACCAGGGAAAGCAGTCTATTTGGACAAGTAGCTTTGGACGTCTGTCACATCAAGGCAGGAAGATATCAATACTTACTAGTTGCACAAGACAATTTATCTGGCTGGGTGGAAGGCTCTCCTCTAGAGAAATTGACTGTGGACAAAATTGAAAAATTTCTTTTGGAGGAATGGGTCTATTGGTATGGTGCAACCAAGAAGGTGACGGTGGACAAGGGTCCTGAATTCAAGAGTTAATTTAACAGTGCAGCTGAGAAAATTGGGGCAAAGTTCAAACCAAATACACCCTACTATCCAGAAGCAAACAGGGTGATTGAAAGAGGCCACAAACCATTAAAATACGCCTTGATCAAGATGTGTGGCAAATCTGGGGGAAAGTGGAGGGGATATTTACCATTAGTACTTTTTCTGATAGAATTTCCACAAAAAGATCAACGGGTTACTCCCCATATGAATTAATTTTTGGTCAGAAATCTGTTCTTCCCCTGGATCTTGAAATGGACACCTACTTGGTAATTGATTGGATGCAATTCAGTACAACGGCAGAATTATTGGAAGCCAGGACTCAGCAACTCAAAAGGAAAGAAGAAATCTTGGGAATAGCTTACCAGAAACTCCAAGACACTCGAGAACCCTCAGTCAGATTTTGGGACAGAAAAATGGTGGCTAGACTCAGAAATCCCTTGGTACCCAGGGAAACGGTATTGACTTATAATAAAAGCTTAGAAGATCAACGAGGTAAATGATTCAAAAACAGATGGAATGGCCCATTTAAAGTGAAAAAAACAGCTTGAGGGTGGATCTTGTATTCTGGAAGAATTGGATGGTGTGGAATTAAAAAGAGCTTATGCTGCCTCTCATATCAAGAGGTTTTATTCCAGAGGAAGGGACTTGGAGGAAATGAGGGCAGATGAGGCAAATTCAGATTCAGACTCAGACTTCCATTCATCTTCAGATTCAGCATCAGATCAAAGCTCAGAAAATAATGATACCAACTCAGATTCAGACATGGATTGAAATTCTTCATATTTTTTGTCTTATTTATCTTAAAAATTTTCATTTTTATTTCATTTTATCTTCATCAGTTTCATTTTGACTTTATTTCAAAAAAAAAAAAAAAAAGAAAAAAAATCCAAGTACAGCTATTGTGTAAATTATTGCGCTTTTCCAGCTTTTTTTTTTTTTTTTTTTTCCACACCAACTTTTTTTTTCCCCCGAACCCAACTTTCCCCCGGCGCACAGACGTAGCTCTCCCCCGGTTGAGCAAGTCACTGCTTTGCCTGCACTACCCACTACCCAGTCACCTCTACAGGCCGAGCCACAACCAACACATTAGCATCAAACCCACTCAATCAGTTGGACTATCCAATCAACCTTGTAAGCATTCTCTCAACATAATATTGTATGTGACACTTCAGCTAACAAAAGCTTGCACTTTTCTCAGGTCCCATGGCGAAACGAAAGTACTCGGCCGATTTCAAATATGCGGTCGTCAGGGCGGCAAAGAAAGGAAAGACATTGGATGAGATCAATACATCGTTGGCCAGTTCGGTCAGCAAAGATTCCCTACGACGATGGACTGACCTGTATGAGAGGACCCAAGCGGTTGTGTGTGATCCATCTACTTACCTAACCCGGGGCCGCCCATTTGAATTAGAGGCTGAAGATCTAGCATTCATTAAAACAATGGTCACCGATAAACCAACCGTCTATCTCAACGAAATCCAGCGGGCGTTAATCAAGGAGAAAGGGGTCTCTGTCAGCTTGAAGACAATTTCAAGTACACTTCATGACCGATTGAAAATGTCAAAAAAGTCAATCAGGACTGTCAATCCACGGCAAGATGCGGAAGCCAGGGCTTTATACCTCTCTTGCATTGGCTGCATCCCTACGTCATATCTTGTATTCACAGGTGATTCTATTTTTTACTGATGCCTTATGCAAAAAGATTGGTTATAGCTTAAATTTGTCTTGCTTAAACTTTCAGACGAATCAGGGGTCTCACTTGAGGTGGTATCGAGAAAGCGCGGTTGGGCTCCAGTAGGTCAACAAACACCCCAAGTTCCGCAGGAGAGGAGCACCCATCAGTACAACATCATTCCAGCGATCTCATCAACAGGTTTGGTTGCACATATGGTCCAGGAAGAAACAGTGATTCGTGCAGACTTTGAATTCTTCCTTGAGCACATCCTGGTGAGTTCACTTGAGGATATGTTTTTTGGGTTATTGCTGACT